GGTTTTGCTAGTCTTGTTTCTATTTCTGCTACCTTTATGGATGAGCTTTATGCCCTTAATTATAGTATCAATATGTGTATTAAGTTAGGTCTGAACAATATTTGGACTGAGGTTGATGATATGCTTATTATACACTAAATAAATAGTGACCATTTATTTAATGTTGATAATTTCTATCTGATTAGAAATATTAAACAAGCCTTATCTTGTCTCAATTTCCAGATTTCTCATATATTGCGTAAGGCAATATGTGTGCGTATGCTCACTAAAATTGGTTGGACTACTCTCCATTTCATTGAATTTCAAGAGGTTCATACCCCTAAGATTGTTAAAGGTTTCGTGGCCTTGGATCTTACTGGTTTACCTTATATCGGATCCCATTAATTTGGGGTTGTTCTTGCATGGTTGTTTTTTATTTTGGTGGCTATTTATTTAGTGACATGCATGGTTTTTTCTTTATGGTATGGGGAGTTTGGGGAGGGGACACTTGTGGTCTACAGCTTTTGCTGCGGATTTCCCACTTTTCTCATGACCTGCTTGTATTCCGTGCGTTATGGTTTTTTCGGTATCATTTAGTTAGGTTATCATATAATTTCTTTACGCACAACTCTGATATGATGCCTATGTTGTATAGTATGCTTCTCAGTTTTTATCCCTTGCAAGTATTCTAATTGCAGACCACAAATTTAAGTTGGTAGTCTGTTGTGTTTTGTATTCTAGATGGTTTTTCTATAGGTCCTTTTGATGGTCGCTCTGCCGTTTTTTGCTATAGCTTTTTATTGAAAATGTTTATTGAACTTATATTTGGGTTGATGATTCTTCCTTCCAGTGAAAATTTTTAGTTGAATGTTTATTCAATGCATCTCAATTTTCGAGAGTAGACTACTAGCCGCCCTAATGTAGGTTTCTGTTTTTTCATTATAATTTTGCTCATAGGTTTTTTTTGGACTTTTTTGGAAGCTCTTTAGTATTGGATGGAGGTCTGAAGTGCTATGGGAAAGTTTAAACAATAATTTGAGTTATAAATGGTCTCCAAATATGAAATTCTTATAGCCAAATTGCGTGGCTTGACAAGATGAATTCAACAATCCCATGATCTCTGAATTCAGACATCATTAAGACCCTTAAATGTCTAACAAACGGTGTAAAATTAATGGATCCAATATCGGCCGTCAATCCAGCCACTTCTTATTTACCCCTAATCACTCACCTATTTACAAGCCAAGTAACTCCATAATATATATAAATAGACTCCTCATTTCTCATGAGAGGGGACCCAAGCAAGAAGAGAAGAAGAAGAAGAAGAAGAAGAGAAGAAGAAGAAGAGATGAAGAAGAAGAGAAGGATTGGAGGGAAGAAACTCCTCCACGACTACGGCTAGAATTTTGCCTGATGGCCGAGTGAAGCCGAAGTTCTTCTCGATGACCATGTGATGCCAAAGTTCTTCTCGACACCTGAGTGACTCCGAAATTTCACCCTACGCCCCAGTAATGCCAGAATTTAACAAGATGTTTAAGTGAAGATAGAATACTGCCCGTTCCCCAAGCGTCATCGGAACTCTACCTGACGTTGTAACTGGATTTCAATCTATATGTATTTCATTGTAATCTTATCATCCTAAATTTCAAGGATGAGATAGCCTCTTGTATCTCAAACTAAGACTAGTGGAACTTTTTCATTTGGGCGTGGCCCTGTGATATTTTCCCTTTCTAGGATTTTCCATGTAAAAATCTTGTTTGTGTGCGGGATATCCGTACAATATTGAGACGAAAAGTTTTTAACTCTATCGCCGCGTATAATCTAGCCTACAATAGTTTGGTGCCATATGTGAGAAACTTATTCCATAACTTCAAGTATTTCTATGATGTCAACAGGTGCAGCAGTAGTATCATAGGAACTTCTCGCTCAAACTCCCACCAGTCTAGAAATCAGTCTATGAATCATAGACGCCCGATATCTGCCTCTTTCTACCCTGTGGAAGGGAAAATATTGCCGGAGAAAGAACCTCGAGACTTTCTATAGAAGAGAAAATCAGAAAGATGGAAAAATCTCAGAATGAGATCCTTCAACTCCTGTGAGAGACTCGACAGCCCACATTAGCACAACGGGAGGAAGTTCTTCTCCCTCGAGATCCATCACTGGCCGAACATGTTCAATTTGAGCATATTCAAGCAGAATCTTTTTCCTTCGCCAAGGAGGCATATATAGTCGCATCAACACAACGAACTTGCCCATACATAAAGTTTTACCCATCCCTCACATACCGGTCGACAACCTCGTATTCATTCAGATCTCCCAGAAGTCGTAGTCCAACCACACGTTTTTGAGCTCCCTCACAATGCCCTTCGTCATGAACTGTAGATATTAGTACGAGAAGAGTTCCCTGGAGAAGATGTGAGACAAACTCTTTGACAGTGAAACTTCCAAGAGTCAGCACCTTTAGCTGAAGCCATTATTCAGCACCCTATTTCAGTTGGCTTCAAATTATTGAGCATCGAGTCCTATGATAGGACATCTGACTCATATGAGCATGTTGACCACTATAGAACCATCATGCATATTCAATGAGCCTCAGATGGCCTTCTGTGTCAGGTTTTTCTTGCACCCTTAAAGAATAGGCTCGAACATGATTATATTGCTTCCGTCTGAAATGATCCCTTCATTTATCAAATTGGCCAAAGTGTTTGTCAAACATTTTGTGGCCAATTGAAGAATTGCTAAGGATTCTTCTCACCTCTCTGGGATCCATTAAAATGAAGGAGAATCGTTGAAAAAGTATTTTCAACTATTTTCCACTAAGGCTCAACAAATTCCATGAGTAGATCCTTAATTACTGGGATGGATAATTCATCTTTCCCAGTAAAAAAAAAAAAAGATCCTTAATTACTGGGAGAGGACTTTCTCGGAGGCCTTCATCCTGGCCCCTTCTATTTGGCACTCATGCACGACACTGTTCATTCATATGCCAATCTGATCCAATATGTGGAGGCACAAATCTCTATAGATGAGGCCATAAAAAACTCATAAAAAATAGTTTGAGCAAACCAATGGGAAGCGTAAGGGTGCACCTGGGATGGATAATTCATCCTCATAATGAAAGAAGTAAGGAAAAAACAATCTACCTCCTAGGCCTCCATTGCCACGATAAGAACCTCGACAGGAGAAGGAATATACCCCACTCGACACATATCGAGCAAATGTATTAATGGTTGTTCGAGATCAAGATACATTGAAATTGCCACATCTTTTGAAGCCAAATACAGGAAATCAAGATCAGTACTATCACTTACATCGTAGTCGTGGCCACATTAATGAAGCCTGTAGGCAACTTAAGGAGGAGATTAAAAGTCTTATCTGCCAAGGCTATCTTCAACAATTTATACGGGATCTACCTACCCGAGAGGAAGCTCATCCAGCTGGGGGAAAAATTAACAATAGAAACCACTGATGAATAATCGAATAATAATTTGTGAAATTGAGACAATCACATGAGGCCCGTTACTATCTGATAAGATCTTTTTGGCTGTAGATGAAAATTCGACGCCAAAAAAGGCTTGTATAGATCATTCAATCACCTTTGAAGATTCTGATTTAGAAGGAGTAAAAACCCCTCATCAATACTCGCTTGTGATTAATGCGAGGATAGGTGATCTGTGTTACAATGTCAAAATAATTATTGTGGATAATGGAAGTTTCATTGATGTTATATTTTACTCAACTTTTCTTGATATGGGTCTCACCAGAGAAAATCTTCAACCTACTGCAAGTCCACAATTTGACAACCGACCTGTACGAGGAAAGGGGATAATCAGTCTCCCAGTTTTACTTGGAAAATTTCTTTGACAGACAACACACTCCATCCCGTTCAGTGTTGTAAAGTCAGAATCAGCTTACAACGCTATCTTTGGGAGGCCGCTCCAGTCATTTTTTAAGATCATTGCCTTTATCCCTCACCTCAAGATAAAGTTCCTTACTCCAGTGGGAGTCAATGTAATATGCGGAGATTAACAAATAACACAAATCTACTATCTTAGGCAAGTTAAACCACGCCCAACAGCTACCATGAGCATCGAGGACTTTGATCTCTGGAGTGAGAATATCCCTCAAAGAGCTACCCCCATGGAACATCTCACTATTGTATCCATGTTAGAGGAACACCCTTCAAGTACTGTACAGATTGGATCCCTTCTCTCTGATGAGAGAAGAAAAAATACATAGATTTTCTACTTGAGAATCAAGATATGTTTGCATGGAGTCCGGTGGATATGCTCGGAATCGACCTGGAAGTGATTGTACACTCCCTCAAAATCAATCTGACGTGCAAGCCGATTATCCAAAAGAAACAAAACTATGCATCAGATCGTCAGCAAGTGATCGAGCAAGAAGTGGATAAACTTTTGGAAGCCAGATTTATACGGGAGGTGCACTATCCTACTTGGTTGGCAAATGTTATCATGGTTCGAAAGGGGAGTGGAGCTTGAAGAATGTGTATAGATTATACAGATCTTAACAAAGCCTGCCTGAAAGATAGCTTTCTGCTTCCTTGTATTGATCAGTTATTCGATACCACCTATGGACATCAGATGTTGAGCTTTTGTTGACCTCATTTTTATTTTGATTAGTTGATCGAGCCTCATCGGACTCGATTTGATTCGAATCCACATTGATTTGAGTTTGATTATTATTATTATTATTATTATTATTATTATTATTATTATTATTATTATTATTATTATTATTATTTTATTGAATTAATTTTTGGTCGAGTCGAGGTGAGCTCGAGTTGGCCTGGATCGAACCAAACCGGACTCAATTTGAATCTGATTTCAGCCCCATGGGTCTAGCTAAATCCTAATAATGGCATGAAAGTCTTTTTGAACCAATTTTTATCCTATGTCAGATCAAGAAAGTTGATCTAACGGCTCTGATTTCCCCCAAAATCCAAAGTTTGATATTGTTGTAGCATTCAGTCGCATGATGCTCTTATTTCGATATGGGGCACGGTCATTTTTGCTGAGGAGCGAATGACACAGTCCCCTCTTTCGTGTATGGAAGGCAGGGATCATGTAGATGTCAAAAAAAGCAGAGGGTAGAGAGTTTGAAGAGGTTTTTCTTTGGTTCGGCTGGCTGAGTCCGTCTCCCATCATTTGCATACACTCTCCCTCACGCTCCCCCTTTCACTCTCATTTTTTACGGACAAGGAGTGAACACCCCGCTGCTCCTCTTAGTAGCCTTACTCTAGCCATTCACCTCCCTCTCTGATCTCCTTCCCTCTTGCATGGCCGAACCCCACGCTGGCCTCACCAAACTCGAGCCCTATCCCTCATCAACGCCAGCCTCACCGAGCCCCATATGGTCTTCTCTAGCCGAATCCTTCTTTGGATCGCAAGTATCCCCTTCCTTCTTCTTCTTCCTGCTATTTCTTCATTTTCTCCTCCTTATCTTTTACTTCTTTCCTTTTCCCTTTCTTCTTCTTCTTACTCCCCTTCTTCTTCTTCTTCTTCTTCTTCCCCTTCTTCTTCTTCTTCTTATTTTTCCCCTCTTTCTTCTTCTCTTTCTATTTCTTCTCCTTCAATACAAAAAAATCTAAGAATGAAATTTCTTTGGGTTGTTTGTTTATCCTTCTACATATGTCTTCTTGATGAGGAAATCATTATATGGATCATGAGAATGCTTTTGTGAGTTATTTAGAGAGCTTTGATTAAATAGGTGTATATGTCATGCCTTTTGTGGTTACTTTATTTTGTAAGAGCTTTTAAGTATTGCATACCAAATGTTTGTTGAAATACCAAAAAAAAAAAAAAAAAAAAAGAAGAAGATTGGGATGTTATATATTAATATAGAGAATGATTAGATGGTTGTTTCCTTAACCCAATGCTTTGTGAATAAATTTGGATGCAAAAATTCCACATAATCTCCCTTCTATCTCTTCCTTGAGAATGTGAGACTAGCTAGGAGTGAACTTTGGTGCTTAAAAAAAAAGAATGATAGTTGGTTTGGTCTCTTGTTATAGTCTATGTCATACAAGTGATTTGTTCTTTAATAATCACTTCAATGGGTAATCTTTCTTTCCTTTTGCATAAGATCATGTGACTAATATGAGAATTTATGCTAGGATTTGAGTATTTCTATTAACTTCATCTCACATATGAGAATGTCAAATAATACTTGTTTTATGATTAGTGAAATCTCTATGACTTATAGCTCATGATCATAGACTAAATACGATGTGGAATACAAAACATTGTAACAAACAAAAATACTTAACATTATGAAAGTTCTCTCTTCATCTTAATGAATTATTGTTGGCAGGTATACCTCTTATTGATGATTTGTGATTTGAGTTCACATTGGAGTATAATTGGTCGGCTTGATGCTCGTCTTATGTGATCCGTAGAGACTTTTCCTTCTTTGAGCCTATATTGTGGAAGTTGGAAATTTATCAGAAAGCAACTACATGTTTTATGTCTTGAATCAATATTGTATTGTGATGATGGAAATGTTCTTTGTGCTCGTTTATTTGAGGTAAGACCAAGTAAAACTCACTAATGCTTGCTCTTTCCTTGCAAATCTTGTTGTTTTATAATACTTATGAGCAAGTACTGTTTCTTTATAGATATATGAGTACAAAATCTGAGAACCTTCTTTAAGAGCAAGAATGAGGGTTTTGAATGTTGCTTTCCCTAATGTTAAGTGCTAAAATTTTCTTGTGATATGCTACGTAGTGTTGGAATTTACCTTTATAGTGTTATAAAAGGCTGAAATATTTCATCCATGGGTTGAAAAAATGATGAATTTTGTTTCCTATTTGCTTCTTCTACCCATATTCTTGTTTTCTCATTCTATAAAGGTGTGCAATAGGTTTTGTGCATTCATGAATCATGAGAGAGGGCTTGGAATTGTATGATACATATAAGAAATTGCTGGTTGCATGAATCATGGTTCATGATTGGAGAACCTTTTGAGTTGTTGGAAGGAAATAAAGTTGCTATAATTTTCCTTCTCTCAAATTTCATTTGGCATAAGTATTTATTTGGAATAAATAAGTATGTTGGAAGCTTACAGTTGCAAGGTGGAGTCAATTTATAAGTCTAGTATTTCTTTCTTTGCACTTGCATCAAGTTCCTATATGTGCTTTATACTCTAGTGGCGTACATGTATACAGGTTAAATGGATAAGAGTTTGGATTTCTTATCTCCTTATAAGTTGTTTTGAAAACCTTTTATGACTTATTTTATGTTGGAAAACCATGTGATTTGCTTTATGTGGGAATATTTCATAAGTTGTCTTGTGGTTGGAGAGTTTCATGAATATTTGGGAGAATAACTATATTATAATATTCTATGATTGTGGCTTGTGTTGGGAAGAAGAATGATGTATCATCTCTTTGCATAAAGAAGAACAAATAGTCATTTGAAGTGTTTTGTGAATTTTGGAGAGTGGAGCATGTTGGAAAGTTGAACTTATTGGATTTGTTGGGTGGTTTTTGGAAAGATAGAACTTTGGCAAACATGCATTAAATCTCTTATCCTCCCTACCCTACCTCTTCTCCTTCTACTGACCTATCTCTTTCTATATTATTTCTTTTATTACTTATGCTTTGAGATGAAATGTGGTAAACTGTTTGCTTGTTGCTTGGTTTTGGGAGAGGTATGGCCTTTGTTCTTATCCTTAAAAAAAATGCATATAATTTATTTGTGATGGCTTTAGTGGAAACTTTCTAAAAGGCTTGGCAAGTTGCTTTGCATCGAGAAGTTCTACAATTTGTTTTGTGAATGTTTTATGACAGAATGATTTGCAAAACTTTCTTGTTTGAAAGTTTTAATGGATTTTATACCCCATGCCAAAATAAGAGCACTCGATTATTTTGTGTCAAAAAATGTTTTTTTGGGTTGGATGTGAAGGGATTTTATATGTCGTTTGATCTGAAAGTTTTTCATAAGTTATTTTGGGATCGAAAATTTTATAAATGGCTTTGTGTTGGAGAATTCTTTATATCTTTTTTGGAATAAAATGATATTTCATATATGAGTTATTTTTCTTCTCTTTGTGTTTGCTTCTAGAGTTGAATTTGGATAAATGCAGAGTGAAAGTTTATTTTTGGCTTTAGTTTTGGGAGCTTGTGTTTCTCCTTTTGTCACTTTGAGCTTTGTTTAAAAAATAGTTTGTATAATTGAGTCGGGGTTTCTCAAGTGCTCTGTTTGGAAAGAGGGGACAGTAAAGGGTATCCAAAAACACCTTCCCCCTTATTCATATTATGTTGAATCAGAGTGAAGGACATTTTTAGAGGAGTGCTTAACTCCAAAGAGGTATGCCCGACAATAAGATGCCTACATTTCTTTATTATTTTATTTTCTTCATTCTTTCCTTTCTTTTTTGACATTTTGTCATCTTGCTCTTTACTTATTGTCTTTCTACTACTTTTCTATTTATTATCTTATTTTATTCATATATCCCCGAGCTTATTGATATATATGCAAATGTCCTAAAAGGCTAGTAATGAAACTTCCTTTTGTCCCATAACTTTAGTGACACTTAAGGACAAAAATTAAGGACTGAGTCTTAGATAACATAGGCTTAGGGTGCATGCTCCTTATAGGATAGAGAAATCAAAGCTTAAACTTAGTGATACATTTTCTTAGGTTTAGTGCACCTTAATCTATTAATGATCAACCAACAAATCAATCTTAATCCAACCCTGAATGCATTAAAGCACTTGATTTCTAATTAAACTATAATTAATACATATAAAATCACTAAAAATGCAAACCTAAAATATAAACTTAAATCAAATTTAACCAACTTATTAATCAATCTCTGACCAATTTAAAATTTAAAAGATGAAGGCTAAATCAAGAAATCAAACTTAAAACTAAAACTTATTAAGTTAAAAGTTTTCTAAAACCCAAAATTCACTAACTCATCCAAAACTCAATCAAACCTTAAGTTAATCTTTTAAAACCAACCAAAAAACCCCTTAATACATGATAACCACTCCAAAGATGAAGTTTATTGGATGAACTACTCCGGGCTGCGGGGCTAACTGTTCTAAGGAGGCCTGGTTCCTCGAGTCTGGTGGCACAACGCCACGAATGAATTTAATGGAGTGTTAAAATTTAAATATAATACACTATTAATAATTTAAACTCACTAAAACTCTTAATATAACTATATCAACTTGGTTTTTAGGATGGACTACTCTGGGCTGTAGGGATAAGTGTCCTAAGGAGGTGTCGTTCCTCGAGCTTGGTGGCACAATGCCACAAACCAGTTGATAGCAAATTTAATTAATTAATCCCTTAATTGATAATACATTACTTAATTCACATTTTTTTAAAATTTACAACCAATTAAAATAATCCAACAAAATTGGTTATCACTGGTAACCCAGGTCTACGAGGCTATTAAGTTAGCCCCAAGGAGGGTGAAATAAACCTCACGACCTCGGTGAGAAGAAAAGGTGGTAATAAATCAAATACTAAAATAAAACATCTAAAATCAATCCTAAAATAATAATATATAAACTTTAATTAAAATTTTCCTTTTGCCCATTAACAAATCAAATGCAAGCAACTCTAATTAAACCATCCTATATAGAACATACCTAAAATTACACAACCTACTACACACACATTTAGACTTATTTGTTAGGACACGACTTCTAGTTCTAGGTTAGACCAGTATTTTGTTTTATTATTCAATGTTTACTACATGCAAATGTTTTATAAATGCTAATCATGAATTTCTTATTAGTTATATTTTTATTTATCTACACTTCTTTTCTGAATGATATCTACGCTCATATGTATATTTCTCTTTTATCTTATTTTGCGAGGTACTTTGGGTCTTGTAAGGTCAAGAATCAAGTGATATCATTTGCTTAAGAGCTTTTAAGTGGTCACGCCATAGTCAGGTATAATCTCTATAACTTATAAAGCAAACTCCTAATTATATATCAAAACTGCTACACATCACACACATTTTGTTAATAGCTATTCTAGCATGTTTAGGTAGCCGGCCATAGGTTAGTACACTAATGAAGCTTTGGCCCTATAGGTTAAAGCTTGCCCCCTTCTATGAGCCCTAGAGACCCTTATGGTCACCTTAGGCCTATAGTGTAGGCCCACCTACTTGTACTATATGCATCATTATTTTTCCCACATGAAGTGGGCACCACTAGGATGTTCCATTTTCACTCGGTTTTGGGTATGATACCCCACACCTTCTATGAGCCTTAGAGACCATTAGGGTAATTTAGGCCTATAGTGAAGGCCACCTATTTAAGCCATGGGCATCATTATTTTCTCACACGAAGTGGGCACCATTAGGATGATTTTTTATTATGATGTGATGCATGTACCTTATCTGGAGAGTATCCTTAGTTTGTGTATTTATCTTTTCTGTACTCTGGATGTCATGCATGCATTTTTTTTATACACTTTACTCCACAATGCACTTTGCTTACATACATGCAATACATCAGCATTGCTCAATTAAAAATGCCATCTTCTTTTAGTAGGCATAAGGATACTATTACTTATGTATCTATTTCGTGCATCATACATGATGCTAGGAACATTCTTTTGCATATCATAGAGTCTTTGATTTAAACCTTTTAAACTACAAATCCTTGATTTTTTAGGATAGAGCCTTCATATGTTATACACATATTGGACGGTTGGTTATGTTTAGGATATTAGATGCCAGCTCACTCCGGGTAAGTGTAAGCCCGAATTGTACACCCCTCAGTGTGTCTTTTCACTTCTAATGTGTTTTGAATGTCATTCCTCCTAGGATAGTAATATGATCTTGGATGTTTTAAACTCAAAATTTTAATTAGATCTTTATTCATTTGAAAAGGCTTAATCATCACTAATGATAAAGAGGAGTTTATTTTCTTCTGGTAGAACTTAGGAACTTTCTCTACGCACCAAATTAAAAAGTGAATAATACTCCATCCTTAATTGAGAGTTTTCCTAGGTCAAGGCCTAGGAGGTAATTAACCGCGGGGGCTTGCGCCTGTGGGAAATCAATCCCCACATCAAATAAACCCCATTTGAGCTGATGCATCGAATGGGGAAAATCTCATGATATTTTTTTGGGTTATATATATTATTACCCATTGAGGTGTGTAGGTAAATGCCGCTATCCTCCACGGCTAATCGTATGTATAACTCTATCTGCTCTTCCATTGGCCTGCTTGTGTCGAGTGTAAAGGCCTACGATCATTTTATCCTACGAGATAGTGCGATAATACCCTTTATATTCGAACCCCATAAGAAGAATCCTTTTAGAGACTAATAGCTTTATGGATGCCTACTATGGCTATAATCAAATAAAGAAGATTCTTGCTGATAAAGAAGTGACAGCTTTTTAAATAGACAAAGGGTTATACTGCTATCGGGTGATGTCCTTCATGCTCAAAAGTGTTGGAGCAACTTATCAGCGCCTCATGAATAAGGTTTTAAAAAATCTTATTGGGCGTAATATGGAGGTGTAAGTGGATGATATGTTAGTAAAAAGTTTGAAAAATCTCAACATATCTCTAACTTGTAATAATGCTTCCACTTATTGAGCCATTATGATATGCGACTCAACCCTGATAAATGCACTTTTGGAGTTTCTTATAAAAAGTTCTTGGGGTTTATGGTAACCCATAGAGGGATTTAAGCTAATCCTGAAAAGATTAAGGCACTAAGGAATATGGTGCCATAGAAGAATATCAAGGCGGTCCAAAGGCTAAATGGGAGAATTATAGCACTATCTCGTTTCCTGGCATTTTTAGGAGACAAATATCTGCCCTTCTTCAAGGTACTTAGTGGCACTCTTAGTTCTAGATTCCAATGGACCGATGAATTTCAAGAAGCCTTTGAACAATTACAAAAGTATTTGACATCCTCGCCACTACTTTCTAAACTAACACTGGGACAAAAATTATATGTGTATATGCCTGTTTTTATCCAAGCCATTAGTTCGGTCTTAGTTCAAGAAGAAAATATTATACAACGTCCTATTTACTATGTCAGCAAAAATTTATCTAAAACATAGGGACGTTATCCTCTAGCTGATAAGACAACATTAACATTAGTTTATTCCTCCAGAAAACTATGTCATTACTTTTAAGCCCATATAATTTGGGTTTACGCAAATCTGTATCCAAAAAGTAACCTGTAAAAGCTAGAAGCATTGGGTAGGCTCTTTAAGTGGTATGTAGAGCTTGGAGAGTTTGATATCCACTACTTGCTTAGGCCCAATATTAAATCTCAAGCACATGCAAATTTCATAGTTGAATGCACCGTCCCAGTATATAATGTTCAACCAAGTGCTTTGCCTTCTCCTCCATGCTTGATATTGTATGTCAATGAAGCTTATGGAAGCTTTGGTGTTGGGGCTGGAATTTTTTTGATCTCTCCACAGAAAGTTATCTTTGAGTATGGGCTCCAACTCAAGTTTCAGGCAATAAACAACATAGCTGAATATGAGGCCCTTATTGCTGGGTTGAGACTAACAATTGACTGTGAGGTATAGAATTTAATAATCAGCACTGATTCACAATTAGTCGCCTCACAGGTGGAAGGGGAGTTTGATATCCATAATCCTTATCTGGCCCAGTATTGCAACATCGTGAAGTTACTCTTAACTCGTATAAAGAAGCATCAGATTATTCATATTCTCTGAAAGCAAAATGAGAGAGCAGATGCTCTTTCCAAACTTGCTACATCAATAACAGGAGATGATTATAAAAAAAAAGTATATTGAGGAGATCTGCTTTCCAAGTATTCAAGGTCTGTGGGTTATGCAATCAATCGATGAACTACGAGAGGTGTCATAGATTGATCCTATCTTGTATTTTCCACAGGATGGAGTACTACCTAAAGAACCCATGATTGCAACACGACTTCGGAGACAAGTAGCAAATTTCACTATTAATGGTGACGAGTTGTATAAACGCACCTTCATCGGGTCGTATCTCAAGTGTCTCCCACCTTTAGAAGCTGATTATGAACTCCGAGAAGTTCATTCAAGAGTGTGTAGAGAACATATGGGAGGAAGAGCGTTTACTTACAAGATCATGAGAGAAGGATTCTATTGACCTATAATGAAATAGGTCACACTTGAGTTTACTCAAAAGTGCAAAAACTGTCAATTACATTTCAATCTCACCCATACACCAGCTTTGGAGCTTGCATCACTAAAGAGTCCCTAGCCTTTCATCTGATGGGGAATTGATATAATGAGACCCTTCCCTATAGCCACTGGACAACGGAAGTTCATTATCCTGGCTGTAGATTCATTCACCAAATGGGTGGAGGCAGAACCTTTGGCAAAGATTACTGAAGCAATTACCAAGCAATTCTTATGGAAGAATATAGTCTGTCGCTTTGGCATTCCTATAAGAGTTATTATTGATAATGGGATATAATTTACTGGAAAGATATTTACATATTTTTATAAGGATTTTCATACTAACTCATCCACACAGCTGTCATCCATCCTTTAGCAAATGGACAAATAGAAGTTACAAATTGAACAATTTTGAAAGGGCTCAAGATATGCCTAGGGAAGGCTGGGGGGCAATGGGTTGAAGAACTCCCAAATGTCCTCTAGGCTTATTGGAACACTGCAAGAACTCTTGCAAGAGAAACCCCATATAACCTCTATTTTGGTACAAAAGTAGTCAAACCTATTGATATTCGAGTCCCGAGCAACAGAGTCCAGACTTTTGACTTCAGTAATAACTAGGAGAGGCTCAGAACAAATTTGGATCTCCTCCCAGAAGTAAGATATGAAGCTTCACTCATGGCCGCTACATACCACCAAAGAATTGCTCGTCACTACAATCGAAGGATGAGAGCTTGACCTATCTCTATTGGGGACTTGGTTCAGCGAAGCATCGAAGCCGTTGGAAAAGGCCCTCAGCGTAACAAACTCTCTTAACTCTGGGAGGGTCCTTATTTGGTAGCAACCATGGTCAAGACTAAAACTTTCAAATTGAAGGTTGCTAGTGGAAAAATGCTCCCCCAGACTTGGAATGTTGGCAACCTTTGCAAATACTATCAGTAGGAGTTTATAATACTATTTGTCATGTGTTATGTTGTTAGTAGTGTTTGTCTTATATTATGTCCCCCCGAGTGGTTAGGCTTTGTATCTTTCAATTTTTATGCTGACTTTTCCTACACAACTTGTGTGTTGATTGTGGGATAACTCTTTTTTGTATTCCTAAGTTATACTAGGGAATTATTGTACTGTTTTATATAATACAATAATGTGATGTTCACTTTGTCATGATACAATCTCTCCTCCTCAAACTCTTTTTTCATGATTTGAGAAATACACAATCTACATTATATCTCAATCACCGAATGATCAATCCCAGGGGGATTTGATCCAACCTTTTCCATACAGGTTAAAAATCATCAAGCAAATGCTTTGATTAACAACCTCAAATTGGTCAAGATATCCAAGGAGGATATCTCTTGCATTCACTCAAGTCAATAAAGACCATCAAAATATTTCTCATTAGAATAAAAATTGAGTCAATTTCATATGCATGTGAGAAAAAGAGAAATACTAATAATTTCTTCATATATCACTGAACATCAAGTACATCATATGACAACATCAACACCAAATACACATATAATAACTAGAAAGAAAATAAAGTGGTACAAAATAATATCAAAGCCATCCTATAGGATCTTAATCTCATCCTCGTCGTCCTCCAGGGAAAAAGCCTTCTGTAAGTCACTCTCTAATTCTTCAGCATCAGAGTCTGAAGAAGGATCCCTAGAAACTTGGCTAGGAGTTAACCCCTCGATCTCCGCTCCAATCTTATATTGCACTGCACGCATGCCCTTCATAAAATCTTTGTTGAAGCCATCCTCCATGCTCTCTACTTCTAAAGCCTTTACC